CTCTCGATAGTAACTCCTTTGATATTATATTGGAACAGGATAGGTTCCTTTTTCCGACTGAAAGTGATGGTATTGCATTTATTTATACTCAGATTGATAATATTTAATAAGACTATCCAAATCATTTTGCAAGAGAAGACAATCTTTAAATGAATTTACTCGAATGAAAATTTTTATATCATCTGCATTTAAGAGGCGTTTAGAGTTAATGATGAAATAAGATATATCAGAGATATATGCATTGTAGAAGAGAGGGCCAAGGTGGGAACCCTGAGGAACTCCCGAAGGAATGTTAATATACTCTGAGCAGTAACCTCCCAGCACCACTGCCTGAGATCGATTGGACAGATAAGATATCACCCATCTCAGTAAATCCCCGTGAATACCAAGCAACCTGAGCTTCTTAATAAGTATTATATGATCTACGCGATCAAACGCCTTCTCGAAATCGGTGTAAATGACATCCACTTGTCCACCGGCCTCCATGCCCCTTATCACAAAGTTCGTATACTGTGCTAAGTTAGACGTGGTTGAGCGTTCCTTGAGAAAACCATGCTGGGTGTTCGGTATACCAAGAGAAATAATTGGATAGATCTGTTTAAAGATAATTTTCTCCAACAATTTGGCTAGGGTGTTTAAGATAGATATGGGGCGGTAATTTGTAATGTCACTCTTAGACCCCTTTTTGTGAACAGGGATGATTTGTGCCTTCTTCCACGTAAGGGGAAAGTTGCATTCTTTAAGAGGATGCAACTTTACTATTTGCACAGGATGATAAGAAAATAGAGGGAACCCCATCACAACCCGGCCCCTTAGATCGATCTAGAGTTTTGAGTAACTTCAACACTTCATCTTCGGAGAGTACGATGTTTGTTATAGATGTCGTATTGGTCTCAAATTCAGCAGCGTTCATATTATTTCCCACACCTGTAGAAGGTATTTGTAAGAAAACACTTTCAAAGAAATTATTGAACGCGTCACAGACCTGAGATCCATTTACGAAGCCATTCAAAGTGAAATGGTTAGGGTGAGATGAGCTGCCCCTTATAATTATAATCAAATTAATCAAATATTCATACAAGCTTATGGTTTTTTCCATTTTTCTCGAAAACGGTAAGTTTTGTCGTGAAAATAAGGCTGTAGACCATACAATTCTCTACAAAAATGGTTCAACACTTTTTCTCTCACGACTCACAATTCGTGAGATATTGTGGTTTTAATACTTAGAAAATTCATTTTTTACATAATATGCCCACATTTCTGCACCGCCCATGAGGTAATAATGTACTTGGCGGAATTTTGATGAGTGACATCTTTCCGTTCGCTTTCCTGCAATTTGTGGGAGTGATTTCGTAAAATGGGACGGAAGTGTGTAACAGAAAGTCGCGAAAGCGCGCGCTATTTTATTTGATTTTAGAACATAATGTTCAAATGGCTTATTCCTTTTGTAGTAGTGTAAAAGATATAAAACCATTTCTTTTTTTACTAATATAAGATGAGGTTTGAAATGTTACACTCATCATACGCGACTACTGTAAGGCTCGCTCGTTTCTTTACAACGTAGTTTCCCCAGTAGGTATACTCCATGATCTATTGTAATAAAGAAAGTTTGATCAGATCGTATCCTATTGATTGAAAGAACGGATATATTGCTAATGATCAAAGTGGAATAGGTTGTTTTCTTCTAAATGTTATTTTAAAAGATATGTGTCTAATTCTTCTACGACAATTATTTATTCGTCTTCATTTTCTTCTTCTTGCAGAATTTCTATTCGCTGTTCTAAGAAAAGAGATGCATCAATTGTTTCTTCATTAATATCATAAATATTTTAATCTGTTGTATTTTTTTCAATATTGGAGCAAGTCTGACCCTGAAAATTAATGCATACTGGCGAACAAAATAACCCCACTTTATGACAGCTACAATAGGCTAGTTGACTCATGTCGAATAAATGTTTATTTCTTATAGTATTTGGTCTAAGGAACCTAAATATATCGATTTCACTTCATAAAAGCAGAAGATTGCTGTAGAAATTTAATTTTAAAATAATATTTTTTAAACACTAAAAACGCTGTTCGCCACATCCGGCATGATTGTGACGTCTCTTGTAGTAAACAACTAAATGTCATTCGCGTGCGTGTTACTGTGGGTGGATGGTCTTTCGTCTGACTAAATTTATCTTAAAATACTTTTAACTTTAGAAAAGTTTCCGGTTACTGTTTTTATTGACAAAACTAATTATGGTTGCCGGGTTTGTGAAAGCAGAAAGCTCAAATCTGCCAAGAATTGGCGCATTGATGGTTGGTGAATTTTTTGCACTTAACCCCGATTTCTGCTCTACGGAGCAGAGAAACGACAAGGCATCTATATAAGTACAGTGCATTTAGTATTACAATTGTAGGAATAAACATAAAACTGATACAACATATGAATAAGCGTAATAAAGTTGCGTAGGTTAATTTCTTTCGGCACTTTAATCCACAACTTTCCTGGAGTGTTCAAGGATGTGTTTTTTATATTCTCGTACATACAATAATGATAATTATTTTATTTTTCGTGGTATTTATTAGAAATCATGTTTATTTATTATAAACTTAGATAAGTTATTTTCTACGTGCTTACGAGTTTTTGTTTACTACAGTTGACGTCATAGCAGAGATAATCTATAGACTAAAATGGCCGACAGCGTTTTTGTATGAAAAGTCTATTTTAAAATTAAAGATTTGTAGCTTTCTGGGTCTCAAAAAAATACTATACATTTTTTTTCGGTCTAATAGAACATTTATTAACCATTTAAAACCTTTTTCCAAAAAGGGTCAACTAGCCTATTCTTACTACAATCCGTCTTGCATTTACATAAAATAGGATTAAGAAGTTTTTCTGCAGCAGGCGAGAGTAAAGTTTGAATTGGCTCCAAATAATTATCTGTTAATTTACAACCCCATCCTTCTGGGTCCAGCTCATTGCCTAGCCACACTTGAACTTGATAATACACACGAATTGGATAGTCTACAATTTTTGTTTGACCTATTTTCACGACAAAACTTACCATTTTCGAGAAAAATGGAAAAAAAACTTTAATTTTGTACGTTTGACCTTGAATATATTTTTTAGCAGAAGTAGGATCGAAGGGGATTTTTGACATCTTATTTATAATTACGTATTTAATGTCTCTGCCAATTTTCAGCTCTATGCGAATTATTCCTAAGTTATGGCTTATTTTTGTCTATTTTGACTGGACTACTAGACATATAGTATCACGGACTTTTTTGAAGATATTGATGATCTCTATAAAAAAAAACAGTACATCACATTGCTCTATTGTCAATGACTTCTGCAGCGTACGCGATATAACGTTGTTTTTTGGTATTTTTTGTCACATTGGGTTACATTATCCTACTTTTCATACGGAACCCTAACTTTTTTGAAAATACTCTATAGCCTTTGTTCATCAGGGAGATAATGTATAATTCTAAATGTGAAAGAATATTTCAAATCGGTTCAGTAGTTTCGGAGCCTATTCAATACAAACAAACAATTAAATCCTTCCTTGTCGCTTCAGCTTCCCAATTCTCATCAGGCTATTAATGCCTCCACTGCTAGATCACGCACAGGTCATCCCTAGGATGGCAAAGGGAGAATGTGCCATTTCCCACCACGCGGGACCCACCAGTGCGGTTAGGTAAGTGCTAACAACTGCAGGTGCAGCCGGGACTAACGGCTGAACGTGCCTTCCGAAGTACGGAGGAGCTCAAGATAAAATGTTTTTTGGTCACCCATCCCAATGGATGGCCGGTCATTGAGAAAGTTGCTAAACCTTCACTATCGCAGCCGGAACGCGCTAACCATCTGCGCCATCGAAGTTTTACTTCAGCAACAGCATATATTTTTGAAGTTATACTTCTTTAGGCGCGTTATGAAAAATGATGAGAGTGAAATTTTTAGATGCGCGCGCATCACTGTAACCCAAAAGTAACAGCATGAAGTTGGCCGCGGGCGCGTTATGAAAAAATCATGTGAGTGAAATTTCGAGATGCGCGCGCATCACTGTAACACAATAGTAACACCATGAAGTTGGCCGCGGGCGCGTTATGAATGTTAGTGTCTAATTTAAGCAGTTAACCACTTAGTGGTTAATAATCCACCATTATTAGACATCTGTTCGAAAGGTACTTTGAACGATCCACGGAGCTCCATAAGATGATCGCGTTGTCAAAAACAATGTTGGCACGCTCGTCGCCTCTGATCACTTTTTTCATATTTATAATATTTATCCACATGTTTCTAGTTTCTATATAGACACAATGTGTTTTAGTTACTTACAAGTGCTAATTACATATGGACTAATAACTTAAATTCAGTAGTGATTTTAATGGAATATTTTGAATATTTATTTAATTTTTCAAATTAAAACTGAACTTAATTGACTGTGTTAACTACCCTTTTCCAGACCTTTTATTATTTTATTGTAATTATTAATTATTTGCATGCAATTAAAAAATATTTTTAATGATGCTAAAAACAGTATAACTTCTCACGCGCGTACATAAGTTACACGCATCCATTTTTTTTTCGTACTGGCTGTGTACAACTAAAGACCCACCCCATGTCTTCTTTAAACAAAAAATTGAAAACGGTGTATTTACCTTTTCCAAACTCCTATTGGCATCACGTCGCTCAATTGTTTTGCCTTCTCGGAACCTCTCCACTAACATTTGAAATTTATGGTATGGTATTAAAGTTCAAATTTACTTTTATTATTACGAATCGCTTGTATATGGGAGTATAAAAAAGTGTTGTTTTTGGACTTTTTCAGGCAATGTATTATTTTATTTTCTGCATAAGAACCATCCTCGTACTTCAAGGAATATTCTGAAAAAAGAATTATTGTAATCGGTTCAGCGATTCTCGAGATTTGCGCTTACCAACACATTCAGCGATTCATTTTTATATTATAGATTTTCTTTAATAAATTGAGTTTTCGTCACTATTGCAATGTGTCAAAACGGCCATCGTACGTGCCATCCAAGCGTGCTGCAAGTCGACTTTTATAAAGAAAATACTGAAAAAAGGACTCTACGATTGATATGTTCTTTGCCTTTTGCAAGCAAAATAAAAAAAAAACATAAAAGTTCAGCTTGCGAAGAAGATTGTTGATTTATTATTGCAATTCTTGCAAATTTATCATAGTTACATGGTTTGTTGTCATAACTCTGTTATTTGGTGCTTCATATTTTGAATTACCTACTCATTTTAAATATTTAACGAAGTTGGGGTCTTGTGTAATATCCTGAGTGGCTAATCTTGGTGCTCTTACTGTACCTACCTACCCGTAGTCGCAGTTGCTAAGTACCTATCTACCTATTTTAACAAAGAGAACTTGTAGATGAAAATTTTATTGTGTGGATAGGGGAACGTGATCAAGGGATATTTTTGTATCTCAGTTTGTGTTAATAAGTGACAATGCAATCAATGGCATTCCATCATAGATTCAAAAGATAGTGGTGCAAAGGACAATGTGTTGTCATATTGACGAATACGCGTGTGTTTTTGTGTAGTGAAGACATTTTCATCGGCACGGATTATCTGAAATAAATTTATGTAAGTTTTTTATTCCTATCGTATTTCACATGAAAATCGTCATCTAGGTTTTGGAAGCCATTTTAGGTTGCTAAGGTTCATAATGGTGGTGATGGAGACAGATAGATATACGCGCAGCCTAGATGAAAATGCGCATGATAACTTGAAATGCACTGGTGTTGCTGATTGATTAAGGCTGCAAATAACGTCCGTCAGTGCATAGGCGGCAGTCCAGGCACGTACATCCCTCGATAGTTACAGTGTAGGGAATGTCCTAATGGATTCTGTAATCCAAGAAGATGGGTAAATATAATAAATTTTCTTTCCTCGATTTATTATAAATAAATCAAATTTGGTGTCTACTACAAAATATTCTGTTAAGATTCTGGATTCTTTTGTAAATAAAACAAATGTTTTGTTATTTTGTTGCCCTTTATTTTATTCTTTGTTATGACTTGCAAAACTCCCCTTTATTATTTACACCTTCCTTTTATTGTAAGAAAACTTAAAGTTAATGTTACATGAATAAGAAACTTTTGTGAAAATTTGCTTACACCTAATAGCTAGGGAGCTGGTGGCAATTTAGATATGAATTCATCATTGTTGATACCAAGATGTAATGTAGTAGTAGTAGAAAAAATAAGTGGCGGGCTTAGGTAGCTCTGTTTATTTTTAAGTAATTTCAAAAATGTAAAAAAAACATTTGAAATATAATATGTTTTGTCATAAATAATATATCATAATAACATGAGCAAATTTTCTGCCACTATCTTTTTTTATATTAAAACAATGTATCTATCGACAAAAGCATTAATATTGTTAATGACACTTATTTTTATTAACATTTTTTGCAATCTCCCATTTGTTAAGGCAGAATTTGTTAGAAATGATTATTTTACTAAGTAGTCTCGTATTATCAACCTCTGTCAGACAATGAAATCATATAAAAATTACTGCCACCAGCTTCCTAGCTAAAACTTTAACTTGGTTTGCATTTTTTTTATCCCAAGAAACATGGACATTTCCACAATACTATCAGTTTTGCTATTGTCTCAATATCACCCATACCATTTAAAATAGATTTGACCTGATAGATTAAAACTTACTAACTGTAAGGATCCTCATTACAATGAAATAGGCCTGATATGCCAAGATAATCAAAAAGTCACCGAAAACTCAATTATTGATTATAAGATAAAATCAAATATAAGATATGTATTGACATAACTTTTGTAATCACAGTGTTTATAAATTGTTTAAGTTTATGTTTTGTTATACAGGTTTAAAGCTTACAAGTTGTTTTTTATGTTGAGTTTAGCTTTGATCTGAGTTCAATTAGTATGTTTTTGCTCTTTAGAACAAATATAAAAAAAAGTTTATGTTGTTCCAAAATGTTTGGCTCAATTTTAACAAAAAAATTAAACACATTTACTTAATTAACAAAATCCCTTGTAAAATATTTTTCATCATTTACATACAAAATATTTATTACTACCTGTAGCATAAGCACCACAACATATATTATAGCACATTTTTTATAACATCTAACTGTCAAACTCCTTGGTAATTTGACAATTAGGCTTGATAAAAACAACCTATTTATCATATTTTTATGCTATTTGGCAAAAAATATTGAAATCATGGTTGTCTATGGAAAACTATTTATTAATTAATTACTAACATGCACCCTCGACTTTTATACCTGGTTTAATTAGTTACCACACAAACTTCGACCTCCCTTTTTACCCCTTTTAAATGATGATTTCTGGGATAATACTCATTCTACATCTATACCAAAATGTCAAATGTTTGATAGCTGTTTTGTATGGGATAGAAGTGTTTTTCTATTATTATGTTTTATCACTACATAAAATTCTTCAATGTGCCTCAAGAAAAAAAAATGTGGTATTGGTCCAGCCATGCGCGAGTGTTGCGCTTAGCAACATTCATTTTTATTTATATAGATTTCTAGTTAAAAAATACATTATAATATACATATTTACAATTTTTGAAGAAGTTTTCTCTCTGTAGGTACCTAATTAGTTTTATCTTAAGCATTGATTAACTTAATTACACATATAATTTTGAATTATACTTGAGGGAATGTAAAAATCTGCTTTACTCGAGTAACTCCTTCAGACTTTTCTGATTTTGACCAAATCACATTTCAGAATTATTTTAATATTTTCAGTGTGATTAAAACCAAGAAAATTGCTATATTTAACGTATTAACTACTTAAATAAAAACTATTTTGTAATAAATACATATTATATTTAAGTTGTCATTAAATCTGTTTTCATCACTTTATAATTAAATATTTATCCTGTGTCTTATTATGGCCACACACAGAGATGTCAATCATTTTTTAGTGTGATTAAAGTTTATGCAGTCATTTTCTTTGCCATAGCAATGACAATATATTACTATGATAAGAATTAAATTTTATTGTGGTCTTTGAGTGTGGCTTAAACTTGTTTGATAGAATAATAAAATATCATATTTTTGTCACCAGCATGGCTGTGAAAAAGCACGAGCTGATGCATGACAATCGCAACCAGCTGGATCTGACTGCGCTGGCGCAGTACATACAGTTGATGAATGAACAACCCCATTATTTGCCACCACCCAGTGAGTTGGCAAAGAATTGTCAAGATATAGTGAAATGTCTTGGTATGTTTTCTATTTTATTTATAATTAAGCCTATTTTAAAAAAAAAACAAAATTTGAGCACTAGTTTTCTTCATTTATAAAAGTTACAAAAATGATTTTGTAGAAAGATGTAAAAGGGGCGAACGCAAGCAATGACTCCTATTACAATTAAATTGATTGCAAGTGATGTTAGATGCCAAAAATTCTAGCAAGGGTTTGAAGAGAAGAATGTAAATAAAGTGAAAGATTAGGACCATGCCAAAGCCTAAGGGACAGAAAATAAAACATTTTAATTATAACATAATTTTTTGAAGCTTCAAAGATTATATCATAATCTTACAAGTTTCTTCAAACAAAATAATATGAAATTCTAGATAGCATCAGAAAAAGAAATGCCATTATGAGAGCAAGTGAGGCCCCTCTGATTGAAGATTGTCAATATAAATTTAGACCCAAACAATTGACAGGTGACCTATCGGTCGTTTGTTCTTATGGCGAGTCGCATACTCACATCTGCGGTGAGGCTATCGACAAGCGGGGTTAGTCTGTCTATCAGCTTTTACAACTCCAAGGCTTTCAACAGGGTCTGTACAAAAGTCTTCTCTCCAAGCTTCCAAGATAAGGGCTACCTGCTCAGTTCTGTGCCTGGGTGCCTGAATTCCTGTATGAACGTTAAATTTGCGCCCTCACGGGCAGATCTTATACGCTATTTTCACTTATCCCAACTTTACCTTTCCCTCAGAGGACCACACGGACTTACTTACGTTATCGTAAGTTACACCGGCTTACTGCTTCGGGCGGTTGGCAGCGCGGTGAAAATGCAGCTTCAAACCTACAGGGCTTCGATTGCGGTCCGTCTGTGTTTATCACTGGCTAACTGTTCGAACACTCCGTGTAATAATATCATTTGATGAGACGGCATACATAAATACATATTAATGACCGACGCGACATAGTGATATTTTGCCTAATTTGATGAAACGTAGCTTAGATAATAATGTTTAGGATGAAAGAAGTCTTGATGAAAGAATCTTGCGGTGAATCCACTTTGATGAGCTGATAGGTATATTACCCTAGCGTAACAATTTCATAAGTCCATATCCTAAGGTATATAGTATTTTGTTGCTAATTTGTTGCTATTTTGTGCCGCAAGAATTGATTTTGTTGCTCCATGATTTTTCCGAAAAACGCCTGTTACGCTAGCGTAATATTACGCTAGCGAAACCACAGCGATAACTCGGAGGCAAAAGCAGTTATAGAGATCAGATGAACGGCATATTTTGTTGCTGGTTAGATATGGAAAAATCCCCCCCCTTCATGTGGGGCTAACTACCCTTATTCTTAGATATTTCAGATTTTTCGTATCTTGTGAACTAAAGCAGCTAGCGGCACGAGACAAACGCCGTATTTTGTTGCTGTGAGATAAGCTGGTTAGATATGGAAAAATTCCCCCCCTTCATGGGGGGCTAACTACCCTTATTCGTAGATATTTCAGATTTTTCGTATCTTGTGAACTAAAGCAGCTAGCGGCACGAGACAAACGGCGTATTTTGTTGCTGTAAGATAAGCTGGTTAGATATGAAAAAATATCAGCCCTTCATGAGAGGCTAACTACCCTTATTCTTAGATATCTCAGATATTTCGTATCTCGTGAGCTAAAGCAGCTAGCGACCCGAGACCAACGGCGTATTTTGTTGCTATTTTGTAGCTATAAGATAGGCATGCTGCGTACATCATAATCACAACCCTTATCGGGGTATGACCAACCCCCGACCCTGAAGACACCAGATATTTCGTATCTCGTGAGCTAAAGCAGCTAGCGACCCGAGACCAACGGCGTATTTTGTTGCTATTTTGTAGCTATAAGATAGGCATGCTGCGTACATCATAATCACAACCCTTATCGGGCTATGACCTACCCCCGACCCTGAAGACACCAGATATTTCGTATCTCGTGAACTAAAGCAGCTAGCGGCACGAGACAAACGGCGTATTTTGTTGCTGTAAGATAACCTGGTTAGATATGAAAAAATATCATCCCTTCATGAGAGGCTAACTACCCTTATTCTTAGATATCTCAGATATTTCGTGTCTCGTGAGCTAAAGCAGCTAGCGACGCGAGACCAACGGCGTATTCTGGTGTCTTGGGGTCGGGGGTTGATCATACCCCGATAAGGGTTGTGATTATGATGTACGCAGCATGCCTATCTTATAGCTACAAAATAGCAACAAAATACGCCGTTGGTCTCGGGTCGCTAGCTGCTTTAGCTAACGAGATACGAAATATCTGGTGTCTTGGGGTTGGGGGTTGGTCATACCCCAATAAGGGTTGTGATTATGATGTACGCAGCATGCCTATCTTAAAGCAACAAAATTCGCCGTTGGTCTCGGGTCGCTAGCTGCTTTAGCTCACGAGATACGAAATATCTGGTGTCTTCGGGGTCGGGGGTTGGTCATACCCCGATAAGGGTTGTGATTATTATGTACGCAGCATGCCTATCTTATAGCTACAAAATAGCAACAAAATACGCCGTTGGTCTCGGGTCGCTAGCTGCTTTAGCTCACGAGATACGAAATATCTGGTGTCTTGGGGTCGGGGGTTGGTCATACCCCGATAAGGGTTGTGATTATGATGTACGCAGCATGCCTATCTTATAGCTACAAAATAGCAACAAAATACGCCGTTGGTCTCGGGTCGCTAGCTGCTTTAGCTCACGAGATACGAAATATCTGGTGTCTTGGAGTCGGGGGTTGGTCATACCCCGATAAGGGTTATGATTATGATGTACGCAGCATGCCTATCTTATAGCTACAAAATAGCAACAAAATACGCCGTTGGTCTCGGGTCGCTAGCTGCTTTAGCTCACGAGATACGAAATATCTGGTGTCTTGGAGTCGGGGGTTGGTCATACCCCGATAAGGGTTGTGATTATGATGTACGCAGCATGCCTATCTTATAGCAACAAAATACGCCGTTGGTCTCGTGCCGCTAGCTGCTTTAGTTCACGAGATACGAAACATCTAAAATATCTAAGAATAATAAGGGTAGTTAGCCCCCCATGAAGGAGGGGGATTTTTTTCATATCTAACCAGCTTAACTTACAGCAACAAAGTAGCAACAAAATATGCCGTTCATCTGATCTCTCTAACTGCTTTTGCCTCCGAGTTATCGCTGTGGTTTCGCTAGCGTAATATTACGCTAGCGTAACTGGCGTTTTTCCGAGAAATCATGGAGCAACAAAATCAATTCTTGCGGCACAAAATAGCAACAAATTAGCATCAAAATACTATATACCTTAGGATATGGACTTATGAAATTGTTACGCTAGGGTAATATACCTTGAGCTGATATTATTAGGTGAAAGAAATGCGTTTCGAGTAGTGGAGTGGAGTAGTGAACCCGTCTACATTATACACCCCGGTATTTTGTGATGACAAATACCCGGGATTCGAAACCTCGTCCTGGTACTTTCGTTACTTTCGGGACTAAATAAAAGCCGATAATTTAATAATCACGTGCGTTAAAGATTTCCGATTTAACTGTAGTTCGAGTTTGCTAGGCCACAAACGAAGGGCGGTAACAAGAGGTCATCTCCTGGGTGGCGTGATCCGCCACACATTTGGCATTACTCTCATCAATTTGCTACTTTGACTTTGTTGTGTGATAACTTGCGATTCTTGTGTTTTGAGGAAATGCAGACATCTTTTATTATTTCTAAATAATATCCATAAAACTAATATTCATAGGGAGTTTGGGTGTTCCTATGGGCGGTTATAATCTGCGCTAGCGTTGAAAGCAAGGTTAGAGTATAGATATTCGATACTCAAAGTCTTCCAGAAACTTTTCATCGTCCTGTAAGGTAGAACGCCGCAATCATGGAACATAAATGAAGTAGTCCTGTTCTTCAAAAAGCGTAGCAAGACATTCTTGAGGAGCTATCCACCAAATCTCAATTCTGAGGCATGTTTATGTTGTTCTGAAGAGTCATTACGAATCGTCTCGCGCGCTGGCAGCCTATACAAAAATGTGAAGAGTATAATCTGCCCGATTGGCTGGCGTTTGTGGACTTTGGGAAAGACTTTGATTCGTTTAATACCTGGGGGCCATTCGCCTAACGGAAATGCTTTGGAAAACGCTAACGCTTTCGAAGAAAAAAAAAGAGGGCGAGGCATTTGAAAACCTCAGGCGGCTAGAAATAACAAAACGAAATCGTAAGCGTTAGCGTTTTCCAAAGCATTTCCTTTAGGCGAATGGCCCCCTGGACTATACTACAGTCTCTCTGAAGGTGATAAGTAGTTTACAGGCATGTCGAGGTGTTAAGGTATTTTAACGATAACACCTTATGTCAGAGAACAAGAGCTCTCATCCTATCCAACTGCAACGACGCTTGAAACAGGAATATTAAAAATCCCCGAAACTGTTCACTGCGCTATACTGCGCTGGAGGATATTTTTAATATATTATGTTATGGATATTGTTGACCATAGCATTTTTTTTAGTAATTCCATAAACTGTTAATGCTCCTAAAAATAATAGTTTGGTGGAACTTCTCATTTAGCTTCGTATATGCGATACTAAAATTTATGAAATTTTTTGAAGAGTTACGTAATGATGTAATTGATTATTATAATAATAATTTGAGTTTTTTTTAGCTCGAGCAACTGGAAATGAGGAGCAGTTATGGGAGTTGTTGCAACCTATCGAAGAATTTATCGTTCGCATCGTGAACACTGTACACAGCAGTGTTCGTCATGAAATCATTACGGCGATCCTCGATAAATTCTACTCTTTTATTTCTGATCCTCGTGAGTATTCAAATGTTTTTAGTTATACATGAAAGATATTTTCTTAGGTATTGAAGTAGCAGCTTAGAAGTATCATACGTATCAATAAGCGCCACCTTTTTCAATAATTAATTATAATAGGTAGATATCCAAGGGCTTACAGTATCGTTGATATTTCGTATTTGCGCAAGACTGAAAAATTTTACGCTCCTTCTCCTATAAAGGAATATGGTTTGAAATAATTATGATTAGTTGCATAGATTTTTGCCATTATTTTCATCGGTTATCAGAATCGGACGCGTGTCCCGCTACATCCGTGGTGCTGATCGTGTTAGACAACTCTGACCAAGAAGCGACCCTTGCCGCCGCTCGCTGGCTTGTGCAACAGGGGGATAACGGGCCCGCCGGGGCTGGTCTCCGTGCCTCTTTATCCTGCCTCTACCGCTGGATGTATGAATGGAACGGCACACCGGCCCTTGGGGAATGGGTTTTGGCATATATCAAAGCACTCGAGGTAATCGGTGACACAATAAACTTGAAATTTTAATTTATGAATCTGCAACTTGTTTTCTCAATAAAAAAATTAGGAAAAGCTTTCATGTTCTGAATTTCTGAAATTTTTGATTTAAATAAATTTAATTTCTATATTTTTCTTTTAGGAAAACGAGCGTTTCGACATTCTTATCGAGGTGTCAGTAGACAATTTAAGTCGTCTCTTTTCTGCTATGGATGACCCGATAGCTTTACGTCAGTCAGTCGCTGATGTGATATTCCATATACTCGCATCGCTTCGCGAGTCTACTGAGGCCCTTGACAGAGTAAGCACTTATAAATTGACCTCGTCAAATATATTTTCATAAGAAATTGATTTTAGATTTAAAACCTAATTTTACAAATACAGATTGCCCCGCACGTGGGTCGTGTCCTGGTAAATCTTGCCGCTGAGAGTGGACAGTGGAGCCGGCAGCTGCTGCAGACTGTTGTAGACATACTGTCAGCAATGGTCGGTCGATTAGTAGACTTGCTTAAAGGAGAAGCGCAAGATATGTTTAAGGACAAATATGCTGACGTTGTGAGTAAATTTATATTAATAACCAATTCCCCTAATGCAATATTGTTTTAATATTGATTAATTGATATGTTTTCCGTAGATCCTGTGCTTGGAACGTCACATGGCGTCGCTAGATTGCCACTATCTCCAATTGTCACCGTGGCGCGCGCGCAATGTATGTTTGACTACCGTTAACACTCACACGCCTATGCGTAAAGTTGGTCTGTTGAATTTGGGAAACACGTGCTACATGAATAGCATCCTGCAAGTTCTGCTCGTCACGCGGCAGTGAGTATCTTTTATCATATAATACGTTATTTTGAACATACAGTACTCTAAGCATGAACCATTATCGAATGGAACTATTCCAATTCGATAATGGTTCATGCTAAGTGTACTGGTCTTGCAATATTCCTCTTTCTAATGTCGATAATTTTTTTGTGCTTTTTAAATATCCTATTTCTGGTGCAACAAACACGGAAATTAGTGTGAAGAAGTTTCAAGAAACATTTAAGGCATGTCGCACGTTTTGATGTTAAAAGCTATACTGTAATATTGTTTTGGTTATGTTTGTACTGTGAAGTGCAGTTAAGTTTAATTTGATATTTCAATAACATACAAACTATATATTGTATTCCTTGCTGGGTTGACAGTGTATTCGTCCAACTAGATTATAAAGTGTATAACACTGTTTTAATAAGTTAGGTGCGAAATTTTAGTGCTCTCCTTGACTTGAGGAAGTTACCTTAGAGGTGCTTGTTAATTTCTGCCCGGGCCGTTGTCGGCTGAGCTTGGTTCCCGAGCACGGTTTTACGTTTATGCTGATCCCAAATCGTCGCTAGCGCCGGTGTCGTTAAAAAACCGACATAGTGTCTCATACCTAACTGACGACGTTTCGTAGACACTGTTTAAAACCGTGCATAGAGCCAGGTCCCAGAAATCGTCGCACATATGTTCCAATGACTTTTGACATGGTTTTAATAACTGCTAATTTAAGAAACTGCATGCCTTGTCAATGATTTTAGAAATGACATAAGCGGAGACAATTTATTTTTGCAACCTTATTGTAGGTATGAAGTAAGTTGTGAGCTTTCAATTTAACAAATCCTCAATCAGTATTTCATTTCTAACAATGTCAATGTGTCAGTGATGTATGAGCACTGGATTAGTAATGAAAACATAGTTTATTTATATTGACTAATTATAAGCTCTTCTAAGTCGTTAAGTTATCTCATTCTTCGTAACTTTCCCATATCCCATTAAATAGACGTTCAATTTATGGTTTAACTCTTTCTATTTAATTTTCTTAAATCGCCTTGCACGGTTCAACCGTTTAAAAATAACTCGACGGTAGGCACGTTTAATCGATAGTGAACCAGAGTCAACTTCGCATTCAGCTTCTAGCTTCTTTTATTTGTCTGCGACATCGGAACGTGTAAAGGGTCCGAAACATTAAAATAATGTGAAAATTCACCGATCTCGTGCTCTACACGTCTTGAAAAGGCATTGAAAATGAATCTACCTATTATAAGTTATTCATGACAAAATTAAAAGCCTTTAGTAGTGGTACATTTATTCGGATAATGGTGGGTGGTTTCTTAAGCATTTACGCTTGTATTTATAGTTGTTTTGATTCTTTACTCGATGCCTATTTTTCGTGTTTCAATAAACAAGGGGGTGGGTGATCTGATGCCAATGCATCAGTTCTCCCACCCCAGTTCCTTAAGAAACTCCACAGGTGTGTTACTGCAGGCTTTTTATGGTGTCAGTAAACATCTCATGTATAGTGTCGTAACCACGGCAATACCTACCGTAAAGTCGTCATTCGAGGTGGACCGACACTGGCAGTGAAGGTTGCGGGAAGCCGATGGATGCGAGTGGCGCAGGACCGATCGGTGTAGATATCCGGGAGACCTATGCTCAGCAATAGTCGTCGTACGGCTGACATGATGATGGTGATGAAAGGTGTCAAAGTCTGACAAGTTAGTTTAATCAACTCGGGTTGAAGCTGCAAGTTTACCATAAAAAATTGCCGCCTTTGTTTGTCGTTAGTTTTTTATAGTTTGTCGTATTATATACAGTGCGCCCCATTATTCGGTTCCCCAAGTGATATATTTGTATTATATATATATATATATATTTATTATATATTTATTATTTTGAGCCTTAACCTGCTAGATTAAGAATCTAAAGAAATTTATACTAGATTTAAAAACTAGTAAATACTCTTTTCTTTCATGAACCCGTACTAACCATCCATTGATAATGATGAGGTTGAATAATTTTACTAAGAGTAAATATTCAGTTCTAAGGAGCTAATGAATACGCATGTTTTGCATTTCTATTTCAGCAGAGCGGGCGTAAAACAGAATTTTAAAAATAAGTTAGGAATGAGACATGTACCTAACTTCTTAGCAGTAGGGTTACTAACTTTACGCTACGTCACGCTTTGTTGTGGCTAAAAATAACAAAAATGTTTTAGCTAATCTTGAAACATCAAAAGAAAAAAAAACACAACCTTACTGCAATAATTTTGATAATTAGATACCTAATAAGAAAATTATTTTTTTGTTTAAGGCTTCCTTTTCACTATTTACAAGTTAACTTGAATGAAACTGCATTGAAAAATCACTTAATTAGCATTAGCGTGACGCGTCTCACAGTGGCACTTTAAATAAAAAGCTTAGGGAATGATTGGCATCTTCGGTTGGTTTGGCAGCTCACAAATTATAAAAATAGCCCTCTAAATATCATAGATGATTATCAGAACTTACTTACCTACTGACAAGTAAGTTTGTGTTTTTTGCTTTCGACATTTAGTGTCTGGCAATAAATACTCATGACGGAATGTGACCGGCAGTATTAATTTCAAGTTGTTTATAATATTCTCGACAAGACGCGCCTGTCTAGGGAAGTAGCCTCCATCTTACAAAAGATCACAATAAAATATCACTAGGTGTTGTGTTTTTGTCGGTGCGTAAGGTTCTAGGGCTCCACGTCGTAGGGGATTTTGTCAGTGTAGGTAGGCAACGGTGCGTCTGAGACAGACAGTGAATACTTAGTAATCCCGAGTAAGGGTCCCTTTTTACCCCTTGGTTACGGAACCCTAAAAACTAAAAGGTTCTAGGGCTCCACGGTGTATGAGATGGAATCAGGGTAGGCAACATTGCGACCGATACTCTGATTTAAGCTTCTAAAGGCTATGGTGGCCGCTTACCATTAGGCGGGCCATAAGCTTATTTGCCACCTTTTTAACATAAAAAATCGTATACGGAGAGTTCCGTTCCATTGTACATGGTTTTGGCATTTAAAATAAAGCATTGATTGATTCTGAACAGAGGTAGAGGATAGTGGACACATCTGCCCGAATTAAAACGAACATCTTGTTTGAAACCTTTGGTTTCTGTGAGTCCTGTATAAACAAATTCTTATTTTTATTTCAAATTGCAATTCCTGTTGTTTGTCCTGTTGTTGGTACCTAAGTTCTATTTTAAAACTAGTAATGGTATTCCTATTTTTATGATGTTTTGAATACTTATGTGAATTTAAATTTTAGCCTAGAATAGTGCACTTAGCGAATGTTAAATTTATTAAAAAGCTTTGCCGTGAATTTCATTTGCGCGTACCGAATATACTATGTATTTTAATGACAAAATTTTGTTAGACCTTTGTTTTTTGTGTTTTTTGAAACCATGAAAATCGCCAGCTCTTTTATTATAACCTGTGTACATAGTAAGAGCCTATTAAAAGATAAGGCAGTTTCAGAAATTCTTGTCGACGATAGACTGTCAGTATTTGTCGATACTGCCTCAAAACAATGTATGTCAACATAATTAATATCAAATGCTGTTATGGTATCAGCTTAATTAAGAGTATATTATTTCTACCTTGGTGACACTTTTTTTATGCTATGCCAACCTTTCAAGCTATAAAATGTAGAATTATGTATAGATGTTTAACAAATTAGGTGGGCGCCTAGAAATTAAAACTTATTTTAGCTGTGTTAACTATCGCGCTAAGTACTCAGTAAACTTTATACACTTCTGGACACATCTATTGGCCCACCTTAGAGTTTAGGTTTAGATGGCCCCTACCGAAATATGATTGCTAGATTGAACAAAAACTGTTGATGCAGTTTTAAACCTGATACATTTTACCATCTTTTTCGATCGTATTGTTTTAAATTTGAATTCAGAATACCATACGACATGGAGCTACGCCTAACAAGTCGGATATGCGCCTTGTTAAAGGCAATTGATTTTTGAATAAAAAACATGTTTTATCAAATAAAGGTTTAATTTAATAACGCGTGTTGCCTCCATGGGCATCTACCACAGCTATCATACGATTAGGCATAGAGTTTATCAACCGTTCTATGAAATTTTGAGGGATCATCTCCCATTCCTCTTCTATGGCAGTTTTCAACTCCTGCATCGTCTGGGCAACTAGCTGACGAGCCCTAACACGTCTTTTTAGCTCGTCCCACATGTGCTCAATGGGGTTCATGTCTGGGCTTCTGGCTGGCCAGTCCATAACTGTGATGTTCACATCCCGAAGATATTCCCTGACGATGCCGGCCGCATGGGCTCTTGCATTATCATGCATAAAAAGGAAATTTGGGCCCACATAGTCCGCGTATGGTATCACGTGAGGTTCTAAGCACTCACGAATGTACCTTTCAGCATTTAATGTTGGCAGCCGTGGTCCTGTAACAACCTCAAGTTGAGTTTTGCTGCTCGCGGATATACCGCCCCAGACAGTCCATGAGCCACCGCCATAAGCAACCCTCTCTTCAAAGCAGCATTGTGCGACACGCTCTCCCTTACGTCGGTAGACCTTCTTCCTTCCATCATTGCCATGTAACCCAATTTTAGACTCATCAGAAAAGAGTACACGGCTCCAATCTTGCTGTGTCCAATTTAAATGACTGCGTGCGAAATGAAGGCACGCTGTTCGGTGGGCTCGCGTTAGTTTGGGCCCATTAGCTGGCTTGTGTGGTACCATATCGCGTTCTTTTAACCTTCTCCGAACAGTTCGAGCGCTCACAGATACTCCGTGGAAGTCGCGAATTTGTTTTTGTATCTCAATGGAGGTAAGGTGATGATTTCTCAAGCTGGTCGTCACGATGAATCGATCCTGCTTATCAGTTGTGACCCGAGAACGTGGCCTTCCTTGGCGACGAACAAAGCCGCCAGTCTCTAGATACCTCCCATAAACATTTCGGACCGCAGATCGACTTAAATTAAGTTGAGCACTCACGTTTCTTTGGCTGTGTCCAGTCTGAATAAGTGCCACAGCTTGGGCGGCGACTTCAGGTGAAGTATCCATAGATTATTGATAGAACCTCACCTTAATGTTAAGAATAAGTAATGTTTGTTGCAAAACCAAAGATATCAATCACTTTTTCATGAATTAAATCCAAGTAAACCAATAAAACCAAGTTTTCTTAGTATCGATTGTTTGATATCAACAAACAGGCTCCAAATTGTCTTTTGTTTCTTTAAATTCTGTGTTCGAAATTCAAAAAAAGACTATTGAATGAAATTGTGAATGTGCCAGGTTCAAAACTGCATAAAAACTTTTTGCTCTACCTAATATAAAATTTTAGCTAGCACATGTTCCGTGCATATGGGATATCAGGTTAAATATGTATCATATTTATATGGGTTAAGTTGGCAAGATTTATTTAAATAAAAAACTATTATAGTCTATTCACTTTGGGGTGAGACAAAATGTAAACAATGGATCAGAGGTTCTAATACTTTTATAATGTCAGAAAGTACCTACTAGGTTACATAACCTATAATGAAATTATAATGAATTCTGTCTATATGATGATATATATAATAAAAGAATGTGTATTTCAAATGAAACCAGCGTAATACTTTACAAGTAATATTTATTCACTCTCTGATGACTCACTGGATGAACTGCCACCAACTTTAATTATAAATTTATCTACAACATCATCAACAATACCATCTAATTTTAGCATTTTCTGCTCTTCTTTTATGACATGGTCAATGCACCATTTCCATGATTCAGCTGTTATAGATTGTAAGGCATCGGTTAATAGATTTTTAATTTCAGACATCTTAAATGTTTTATTATTTTTACCAACATATCCCTTGACTTGTGCCCATATCAGCTCAATGGGATTTAATTCACAGTGGTAAGGTGGAAGTCTTAATACTGTGATACCCTTTTGTTGTGCCTGTGTTGTGTTAATTTGTTTAATTTTATACAGAAGCTCAACCTTTCTTTCACTTTCGTCAAAGGATATGTTTTTATCCTGTAGCCATGCAACTCACACTTCTTATTAGAAGACGTAGGTATCTTTTCTTTCCTTCTTGAATGGTATGGTGCATTATCCATGACAACAACCGAGTTAGCATCTAATTTAGGCAGAATATCACTAAACCATTTCTCGAAGTTGTATGCATCCATCTCAGAGTGGTAGTCTCCGTCACTTTTTTTTGCCTCAAAAATCAATTCTCCCCCTTCCGAAAATCCTGAGCTGGATCCTGTTAACAAACAATATATCATTACTCAAAATGAATCATTAGTTACTATTATATATAATAATAATATGCAATTCAAGTATATATATAAAACTAGCTGACCCAGCGAACTTCGTACCGCCCTAAAAAAATTGGTGTTGTCCAGCGGACAAAATTGTGAATCTAAACCATTCTCAGATCCCCTTGAACACACACAAAAAATTTCATCAAAATCGGTCCAGTCGTTTAAGAGGAGTTCAGTGACATACACACTCACAGAAGAATTATATATATAAAGATATAAGGATAACTATCCAATCTTAGTATTTGATCTTTTTGCCTTACCACATGTTAAAATAAAATTATTTACATACATTAATATAATCACGCTTGTTATCCCACAAACGGTTGACAAGAGTTTTAGGTAATGCTTGGGTATTGTAAAAGTAAAGTTATTTGCTTGCAGGAATTAAATAGTACTACAATATTTACCAATATGCAGTACGATCAGACGCTTTCCTTTTCCACTTGGGCTTTTCAATCCAATTGACAATCCCTCTCAATGAGCTTCTTTCACAGTTTTAATAGAATCATCTTGCCAAATTTTGTTCATAGTGTGTCCTGTAACAAATAAAAGTTCATTAACAACTTTGAAAAATAAAAACAATCATAATTTAATTCAATTGCTACCTATTTGAGTAACATTTTCACAGGATAAAGACATGGTATGAAAATAATAAGTATCATTCAATATTTACAAAAATATTGTCATAAAATTATGTGTATGTAAATTATAATAAAAAATAATATATGATAGTATTGTGATGATTAACAATAAAAAATATAATTTAGTTTAGCAGTTAAGATACAAAAATAAACATAATTTATTCAGAAGTAAATTTCCCATAGAATGAAGTAGTTTAATATTGTATTTTACTAACCTTCATTTAGCCAAGTCTCATCAGTGTAATATATAGTTCTGCCTTCGCCCCTGAACTTAACAATATTGTTTAAATATTTGATACGCCATAAAATAATTCATCCCTTTCAATAAGTCCACTCTTTCGGCTTCTTTTCGCATATTTAAATTGCTATGTTTTCATTAACTTGAAAAAGGAGGTCCTCTTAAAGTTTGGCAAAGTTTCATCTGTGTTCACAGCGTGCAATACTTTGTCAACGGTGGGCATCTCCTTATTAAAAAAAAATGTGTGGACTTTACGGCGTATCGCAGCCTTATCCATATCGTCCAATGTATCAACCAAAGATAGTTTAGATGGCGGAGGCGGAGGTGATGAGATACGGCCGGTACTTTTCTTTTCCTTCACCAACCGGTAAACAGTAGCTCGTGATAAGCCCAGTATTTCGGCGGATTTATTCATTATATCGCTTTTATATGGATACGAACCTTTTGGCCAGGTTTCTTCGACATGTATATAAACATTTATTACGACCTCCTTTTCGTTGGAGCGCAATGGACCACTCTTTGTACGCTTTTTCTTCGGCGAAGAAAATGTACAAAAGCTGCTTGGTTCAGGTTCACCACTCATAACTATAGCCACGAAAACGTCAATTCAACAAGAAAACAATCACTAACAACTTTAAACTTAACAGTAAAAAAAATAACAACTAACTCAACAAATAAAACAAGGAAATAACAAGAATTTAACAAATAAGACTGAATATGCACGCTCGCGTCAACAGGTTGATCGGGAGAGTAAAGATGGCTGGCGTAAACCAACCGATTACAAAACACAACACTTCTACGTAAAATACTTATATCATGCGACTCTTAAATTTTGTCGTAATACGTATTAAGTTTGGGAATGTTTGTGTTTTTATTTAGGTCTTTTTCCTTGTCAACTTATGTTGTTAAAATACTTTTTTACGCAAAATAAAAATATACGATTTTATGATGTGTAGGTATATACGTTAAATGTATGTAAAATATTTTATTTTCTTATTCATATGTATGTGCCAGCTTTTAAAATAATTAGCATAATGTTTCGCTGCATTTTCTATGTAAATAGTATTTAATATTTACTTTTGCCAAAAGTGACCTTAAAAAGTATCCTTTTTATGGTTTGTTTACATTTTGTCTCAGCCCAAAGTGAATAGACTATAGATAATATTTGGTCCAATAGTTAAGAATATTTTTTAATCATGTTTTGGCATGCCTTTTTCAAAGTGAATCTTTTTATTTGCCTGAGGTACATACATAGTCTGAAGTATACTATATTTGTTCGCGCCGCTTTTTATGGAAATTATGTGAATTATTTTGCGAATGCTGTTTTTATTTTATTTATTAATTGGTTTAATTAAGCATGATTTTAAATAACCTATAGACGCTGGCGATACCACCAGAGTATCGCTCGCGATGTTGCCTAACTTGATTGTTATCTGCTGCCCTGTGGAGCCCTGGAACCTAATAGTTTTTTATATAAATGGGAGGCTCCCACACAACAAACGTGATTGTTTTGCTCTATTTTAATTACGGCAACAGAAATACGCTTAGAATATTCACAGAATATTTAGTTGTTTATTCACAAAAAAGAAATAGCCCCCTATTTCTTTTCTCCCATACAACACATGCGATTTTTTTGCCTTTTTTGCTCGATATTATAATATAGTGTCTAATGTTGTATAATTAATGGTATAGAAACCTTTGTGTGCGAATCTGACTCGCATTTGGATATTTTTTTATAATCTGCCCTTGCGAGATCTGCTGGTTTTTACGAATAATGCGAAAAAATAATCAATAAAGAAGTTATATTAATATTTTTATGCTATAGCTTTTTGTGTCTTATTTATATGGTTTTTGCAATCGTATAAGCTAGTGCTACGGTTTCGCCAATGTTGTATTTACTATTTTTATTTATTTCTGAAAGCTGCTTGGCCTATAATTTAATAAAAAAAATGACGGATTGCACTCTGGGAGTGCCGGCAGAAGTGAAAACATGAACATTAACGTTGTGCATTTTTGATATTTTGGAATGGTTAGGAAATATTTTTTCACGAATTTCTTTAATTATCACTAACACTTTATATACACGAATTTTACGCATACACAGCAGTGTGGCCTCTACACAGACGGTTGAGCCCCATCCATGGATGCGCGTGGCACGCTGTAACATAAACACACACGAACATTCGCGCAAGCGCCCTTCGCCGCCTAAATGAAACAGCAGGCGCAGGCATACATTTTCGCCGCGCCGTAGAAAGAGAGGGAGATACTTCCTTTCCTACGCCGCACCGGCTGTCTAATCTCCATCCTTCTTACGAATTTTCGATCAGGTCACGTGTCTTGACGCGAGTTTATCATTTTTTACCCATTACAAAAAAGTGTACAACGCCGCTAAAGAAGTTTTCGTCTTACGAATATTCGATCAGGTCACGTGTCCTGACGCGAGTTTAACATTTGTTACCCATTACAAAAAAAGTGCACAACGCCCCTAAAGAAGTTTTCACTTGAAAAATCTAATAACGTCTTCGATAGAGTAGTGGTATGGTGTGATGTTATAAAGTATACGTTATTGCTAATTATTAAAAAAAATGCAATGATGAGTTACAATCGCATGAAGCGAATTATTTTATTTGATAATTTTATATCAGAGTTATTGCGATTTGTATAATTTCATTTATCAACTTAATTGTTTATTTTGTTAATTTGTTGCTTCTTAAATAACTTATGCCTATATTTTACTACAATACACCAAAATTATGTAGGTACCAACTAACTCTTGAGTTTTTTACGAGAAACTTTTCCCCGTCAGGTTTAGCACCCACGTGATGTTAAAGATGAATGCAGTACCGTATTGGTCGAAGATGGGCGTGATGTTCGCGAAAATGATGCACTCCATCACGTGCAAGCTGAGCCCTGAAGAGTTTTTCAACGTGTTCAAACCTCCTTTCTTCACGAGGGATACCCAGCATGACAGCTCCGAGTTCTTGGGGTGAGTTTCTTCAATTAATATCAGGGTTAGGGCTATAAATCGTTATTAGGTATATTCTATTTTCAGGGTTCAAAAGGTTCCCTATACTAAAATATACCTGCGCTGTTCGTTGACGGACTTTTCAGAGCATGCGTTTCAACGAGGCCGCTCTCACAACACAATAAGAATAAAGTTTTAGATATACTAGCAATCCGCGCTGGCTTTGTACGGGTGAACTTTATTTTAACGCGATAAAATAAAGCATATGTCAACAAAGATAATTAAGTATTCTAACGGTAAAAGGATTTATGAAATCGGCCTACCCTTTGAGCTTATTCGTTACTAGCGGCCGCTCGCGACTTCGTACGCGTGGAGTTAGTTATTTGCACATACTGTTTGAAGCTATTTGCACATACTTTTTGACCCGAAAAGGGTTCACTGCTCGTTCCCCGTATGTGATGGCGTGATAATATGTAGCCTATATGTTGACCCGACTTCTTAATAATATTCGTGCCAAATTTGAAGTAAATCCATTCAGTACTTTTTGAGTTTATCCCGGTCATACATACAGAAAAACAGACAAAAATTCTAAAAACTATATTTTTGCCTTAGGTATTAATTGTAGATCACACCCCAAGTATTCTATTAAAAAATATTCAATGTACAGTTTTGACTTTCCTACCATTTTGTTATATGTAAAGATATACTATCACACAAAAATACAAATTTTTACTCTTTATGATCGATGAAAAAGACCCCTTTCATCGATCATAAACACACGATTAAATATATCTGGAATAATTTTACCATCTAGTTTTCATATGTGAAATTTGTTTACAAATGGAGGGCTTAAAAACGAGACAAAAAGATACTTTACTGTTCCTGGGACGCTGTCCAGCGAGCGTCCAGGCGTACTGAGAATTTGAATTTAGAGCTTTTAAATGCTAGCGAAATAATATCCTGTTTGAAGTACCAACTATTTGAACCTGTCTGTGATTTGAATTGTATATTGAGAAAAGTAAAACATTTAACATGATTAAATATTTCCGTTAAATAAAATTTTACCATCTAGTTTTCATATGTGAAATTTGTTTACGAATGGAGGGCTTACAAACGAGACAAAAGGATACTTTACTGTTCCTGGGACGCTGTCCAGCGAGCGTCCAGGCGTACTGAGAATTTGAATTTAGAGCTTTTAAATGCTAGCGAAATAATATCCTGTTTGAAGTACCAACTATTTGAACCTGTCTGTGATTTGAATTGTATATTGAGAAAAGTAAAACATTTAACATGATTAAATATTTCCGTTAAATAAAATTTTACCATCTAGTTTTCATATGTGAAATTTGTTTACGAATGGAGGGCTTACAAACGAGACAAAAGGATACTTTACTGTTCCTGGGACGCTGTCCAGCGAGCGTCCAGGCGTACTGAGAATTTGAATTGAGAGCTTTTAAATGCGAGCGAAATAATATCCTGTTTGAAGTACCAACTATTTGTCCCAACTGTTTGGCGTTGGACGTTCGTTCCCTTTGATAATACCTTCGCGACCGTGTGCTACTACTCTTGAATCTCTATATGATTTGAATTTTATTATGAGAAAAGCAAAACATATAACTCAATTAAATATTTCTGTTATATAAAATATTACCATTTAGTACACAAATGTGAAATTTGTTTATAAATGGAGGGCTTACAAACGAGACAAAAAGATACTTTACTGTTCCTGGAACACCGTCCTGCGAGCGTCCGGGCGTACTGTGATTATTTAGCTATTGAATTAAGAGCTTTTACATGCGAGCGAAATAATATCCTGCTTTAAGTACCTACAATTTGTGCCAACTGTTGTCGTTGGACGTTCGTTCGTTTTGAAAAAATCGTTTGCGATCGTATTGTCTTGAATCTGTCTATGATTTGAATTGTATTATGAGAAATGCAACACAAATAACTCGTATTCAAAGAAGAAATTTGTTTACAAATGGAGAGATTACCAAACGAGACAAAAAGATACTTTACTATACCTGGACCAGTGCCCAGTGGGCATCCGGGCGTAAAAGTTATTGAATTAAGTGATTTTATATGCACGTAAAATAATATCCTGTTTAATAAGTACTCTACGTTTCTCATTGGTCGATCGTTCGCTTTAATTACACCCTTTGCTACCGTATGCTATTTCTTGACTGCTACTTGCTTGTAAACTTGTTTCTAGTATATAACTAATTTCATAACAAGTCTCAGGTGGCGAAGCAGAGAGAATAGAACGCCATAGGCACTAGGTATCTAGTGCCATATGTGTGTAAATTTTTGTATGCCAAAACACTATTCTGACTGTGAACTTTCTGCGATATCGTGGTTCTGATTTTAATTTTTTCCCTTAAGATGATTCTGGCTTCCAAAATCATGCGTTGGAATGTCTGCTTGGAATTGAATGCTACATGATTTTCTGCGAAATGAAGTTTATGCCTTCTGTTGATATCCATAATAATATTATGGCATTAACAGTTCTGTAGAGCCGATTCCAACGGCATAATGTGCCTCCTGAAAAATGTTGAAGCTGGAATTGTAAATATTTGGTCACCCATCCTTGACAGTATATTATGAAATTGCTTAACCTCTACAGTAGGGTTGCCAGATCGAGAAGTCTTAATGTCTGGATAACATTTTCGGTACCTATATACTCAATATAAAACGGCGTATGGATTTTATTTACACGCTATTTATTGGTTTTAATTACTCGCCGAGAGCAACCGACTTTGTGCGACCACTTGTAAGTTCCGATTGTTTGGTTGATGCAATCCATTGTTTTAATGAAAATCTGGTGCCTCTGATGTAAAGCAAGTGCTTTAAAAATATTTGCTGAATGTCAGCCACATAGGAATAGGTGTCGTTATTGCGGGTGTGCGTGTCGTATTACCCGATCTAGTATATTATACACAGGGCCGATTTTAGGATTACCAGCGCCTTGCTTTTTAATAAATCTAAGTTCTTTCTTATTAAAATAAATAGGTTCAGTATTTAGTTTAATTTTATTCAAACGACATTTGCGTGTCATTACTGGGTCATTCAGTAAGTAATTCTTGTTAGCTCAGTACGCCCGTCACAACTGTCAACGTCGGTTCTGTGCTTTGATTATTCTCACTCATATCAAACACGTTTACCTTAAAAAATGGGTAGAAACATATTAAATTAAACACTACCCTGCCTGCGCGTCGCGCTTCGCGCTTTTCCATTGCGCAGTCGGGTAAAAATATCAAAAAATGAAAACGCTTGCAAGATCTCCGAGAACATGCGGCTATGGTTAGAGAGCAAGTGTGAGTAAAATTATATATTTCGTATAATAAAATACTAAGGTCCGATTACCACTGACACGGAGTCTAAATAAAATGTCTTATGTTTACATTCAAGGCAATATACATCACACTAATATTACATAATATACATAATAATCAAAGTTCAACTGATATACTTTAAGGGAGAAGAGCGCCCCTATATAGGGTGAAATTGAATGTTTCTATGAAACTTCGTGAGATTGTTGGGTTATGTGTATAGAGTATGCCTGTCTTTTATCGGATTTTTTTGAAGTATATTTTTTTCATGTATTTATTTATAATTTGTGTATTTTTATGTCCTTTCCTCGTTTTGAGTAGTTAATTCATTTTAAACAAACAAACTTACATATCCAGTGAAAAACAACTAATAAATAAGCACTTCTAAAAAACGGAAAAACATTGAAATTCCACCGCGGGTCAACGACCGACCGCGCCCGCCAGCCGTTGAGTAAGTAGCTACCTAACTCTACACAGAGCTCAACTGACTCGTTTGATTCCACACAATAGGTACAATAAAATCGTCTTAGATGCCTTTATTGAAATTGAAATAATAAGCACAAATGTCATCTTTTCTTAAGCAGAGAAAAACTTTAAAAGTTAATAATAATTTTGTCACGATTGGAAATAGGCAAATGTTAAACAAAAAGAAATACTTATTGCTTAATACCCCAAGAATGAAATTTATAACCAGGTATTCAAAAGTACTTACGAGACCGGCGATTTAGGTAGGTACAACGAGGAACGAGGAACATATTCATTTTTTTCACTAGAACTTTTTATCAAATCAATCACACTGGTAGTACACAATTAGTTGTTTCTAATCAAAAAGTATTTACACTAGCAATAAAAAGAGACTTAAATTATTATCTGCAAAATTGTTGCTCTAAACCACCATTTTGCTGCAAACAAAGGTTGCCTGTTTGCGGACGTGTCTTTTCACCTTTTTTAAAGTGTCCCTATAACTACTCACTGCACAAAATGCAACTTCTATGGTTTAGGGACTCATTCGTAAACCAAACCTACTTCGTCACACTCGCGATAGCAGTACACCATCTCTAAATATTCTTGGTTTGTATACCGAGGCATAATGAAATTATCACAGTCACCAAGTCAAAAGATGCGCACGCTCACGCGCGATTGATATACTTGCGACTGCGTTTTGCATGCAATCAAAGCAAACGTCCGCGTGCGGGGAAGAGGGGAGGTGGGCGGAATTCACATCATCAAAGACGCCGCAACCGGCGCTAGTTGCCAGCGTGCGGCGCGCCGCCCGCCCGTGCTTGCCGCAAAACAACATATTATTATGTGTGTGTGTGTGTATGTGTGACTGTGGCTGTGATTAAATGTGTTCGGAATTTCATGACGTGGGCAAATCAGACACGAAGAGTTCCTTCCTTCACTAAGCTCGTAAGTTATACCGATTTGCTCTTAATTTTAAGAAGATTTATTTTATTGATTAATTACCTGTGCTTTATGAAATAATATTCAAAGGTATTGTGTATCAGTGAATAAATAATTATAATATAGCATCTAAGACTATTTTATTGTATTGTTTTTAAATAGTGTGGATCAAAGCGAGTAGGTAAGCGCCGAGTCATCTGTGCGTGTAGTTAGGTACCTACAGGCGGCCGCCGGTCGTCGCCCCGACCGGCGCTGATCTCGACTGGAGGCATAATGAAGGCATTCATTAAG